CCCGCCTCGCGGTACGGGGTGCCGGGGGTCACCGCCGTCTCTTCCCTCGCGCAGGTGTTCAACGAGATTTACCCGGTGTGGACTTACTCCTACCTGGTGCTGCTGTTTCCGGTGTTTCTGGCCACGGATTACCTGCGGTACAAGCCCGTGGTCCTGCTGCAGGGCCTGAGCCTCATCGTCACCTGGTTCATGCTGCTGTATGCCCAAGGACTGCGGGCTGTGCAGTTCCTCGAGTTCTTCTACGGGATGGGGACTGCCACCGACATCGCCTATTACTCCTACATCTACAGCGTCGTCGATATCAATCTGTACCAGAAGGTCACCAGCTACTGCCGGAGTGCCACCCTGGTGGGCTACACGGTGGGCTCGGTGTCCGGGCAGGTCCTCGTGTCGGTGGCGGGATGGTCCCTCTACAACTTGAATGTCATCTCCTTAACCAGCATATCCATTGCCTTTGGCATGGCCTGGTTCCTGCCCATGCCACAAAAAAGCCTGTTCTTTCACCACATCTCGAGTCAGCAGCTCAGCTGTGAAATGAAGGTCATAGACTGTAAAAATGGATCGGCCGTGCAAGATCATCCCGATGTGCAGAGGGCACCTGGCTGGGAGGATGAGACAAAAATTCCCTTAAATGGGGAAGGTCATTCAGCAGAGAAAGAGGTGAGTCGTGCCCTGTGTTTACATAAACAGAAGATGTCATACAGATGTGCTTGTCGCACACGCAAATGTGCATACATGTACACAGCAGTGGAGATGTAGTATCTAACAGCAAAAAAGTATCCCTTTGCTTATCCCACTTCCTTATTTATGACACAGGAAAATTCGTTACTGCCATCCTTTTGCTCTTTGAGCATGGTAGGCTGCTCCTTAGTTTTTCAGAAAACGCTCTCCATGTCTCACAAGGTTGTAATTAAAATGCTCTGGGCATCAAATTGCCGTTCAGTGTTACAAAGCAAGAAGGGAAATCTTTCGAGCACTAAAAATTGATTATATGTCTGAATTCTGTGTGTGCTTCTGGATGCACCCAGTGACTTGCAGAAAAGAGGCAATTCTTCCTGCACTTGCACAACGGTTGAAGGCATAAATACCAAAATGCAAGTTGTGCGGTAATAAGCTGTGTCATATTGCGTTTTATCTTATGAACCTGGAGGGAAACTGCAGTAGTTCTTGAGAGCACTTGGAAGCAGACATTGATTAGTCATAGATGGACAGAATACAGATAAATTGCAGGAAACACCTCTGCAGAGTAGCAGCTTAATGCAGCCCATGAGAGCACTAAGGTAATGCCCTGACTTGTGGCTTTTGTGGGCTGCATAACCTCTAGTAAAGTCCCTTGTATGGAAACAAGGGTGCAGGCACCCTTGTTTGGTGGTGGGATATGTTGGGTGCCACAAGGTGATGAGGGAGCAGCCTCCAGTTTTGAGGCCAAATGTCTGTATGTGTGTGTGTGTGTGTAGTTACCTGCTGGGCAGGTCTCTGCCACACTGCTCCAGGCAACACACGTGTGGAGAACCTGTAGGGAGATTATGGGCAGGGAGATCCGAGGCTCTCGGGAGAGGTCAGCCTTGCTTGCTCTGAGAACAAGCCAGAAGGTAAGTGTGGCTGTTGGATTAGTCAGCAATGGGTATTTTGCTTAGCAAGTAAGCCACAGTTAGCTGTTTTGGGGGAGGCAGCATCCAGGGCTGCTTTCAGCTTCTTCCAGCTACAGCTGGGAATTAAAGGCATTAACATTCCAGGGACTTAATCCTGCCCCATCCAGCACGATCTCATGTGAGCAAAAGTATTTTTACCCATGTTATGCTTGTATGCTGAAGGGTATTTGTTAAGACAAATTCTGTGCCAATAATGACTAACATATCACTTACCCATCCCTTTTGTTTATCTTACTCTCATCCTGTGAGAGCACATGTGGTTCAAAACTAATGATGAAAAGTTTAAAAAAAGGAGCAAGTGTACCTGTGTGACTCCCCAGAGTTCAGTTATTCCAGGTGCTAAAAGCTGAGAAGCACTGGTGTGTGATGGTAGTCCTTCCTGAGGTAACAGCAACCTCATTTCACAAACATGAATGGCTGCACGTGAACTGCACTGAAGAAGCACTGCCAGGTGGTGGAAGGGCAGATGGGCCTTCCTGGCTTATGAGGTACATGTTTGGGCTGAATGTGCCAAATCAGTTTTTGCAGTGTATGTGACAGTTCCCTTCCCTTGTTTTCCTGTGCCTAAACTTGAGCTTCATGTGAAACCTTCAGCGTGGGATTTATGTTGCTAAAGTCGCATTGCCACAAGCTCTGGCCTCTTCCCAAGTTGTTCTGTTGGGTTTGAAGGAATGGCATCCACACACAGAGGAAGAGTTTTGCCATTGGCAAAGCACCAATGGGACTGTGTTGTGTTTAATAAAGATGCTTAGAAATCGGTGACACTTTAAGAGGTGGAAGAAAGGGCGTTCAGGACAGAGTTCAGGCTGTGGTCTTTGGTGGGTTTAGTAGAAACACTTTAAAATGAGTTTTATTGCTCATGGAGAGCAGCCTTTCCCAGGCACACCACTGCATGATTCCCCCAGGGAAAGGGCATAACGCCAAGAGCCTAAAGTTGCTGCTGCTGTCTGGAAACCACTCTGAAACTGGACGTGTGACAGCACAATGTGCAATAGCTCAGTCCTGTGACAGTGCTGTGTGTTTCCCTGCAGGGAATCCAAGTTCACAGGGGCCAGAGATGCTGGGTAGGCCTTGGGGCTCTGCCCAGGCTCTCATGAAGTAACTGTTCCTCTGACTTACACAAGAAGGGTCTTGCCTGTCTACACAGATTCTGGACATGTGTGCATGCAGCAGACATAATCAAGAACTCTGTCTGCAAAGTGAAGACACGCTCATTTCCTCTGCTGCTGTTGACATAAAGTGGTAAAGAACAGGACTGTAACAGCCTGTGTATAAGAAGCAATTTTCAATTGTTGTCATCCCCTGTTGCTAGAATTGATGTATTTTCAATTACTATTTTTGAGGATCTGCCCCTTTTTGTGCTCTTTCTAGAAAGACTTGGAGTGGAAAGCTTCATTTTTTTATCTCATGCCATTTATCAGGGCACTTGTATATATACAGGAGCTGCATTTTTGTGCTAGCAGTGTCTGGTGGAACTAGCTTCTGTTTCTCTGCAGATCCTCAGGTGATACCTTTCACCTTCTTGAAGCCTTGGCAAGCTTTAACAGGTGTAGAGTGTGTTGTAATGAGGTTGCTTCTTTGAGTATTTATAAGCCCTGAATGCCAGTACTAAAGAAAGTCAACTCCTCTGGTTCCTTTCGTGTTCTCTGTGATACCAAATTTGGTTGAATTTGGCTCAGGACTTAAAAGTGTCAGTGATGCTGTCTGCCTTTGTGATTTAAATGTCTGGCTTCTGATCCCATCGGTATTCTGTCCTGTTCTCCTGTGTCTCTCTGCAGTACCCTTCAGTTGCTCACATAATATCTAGCATATCCCGCTGCCTGCTTGGGAGAGCCAGGGCTGGAGGGGTGCTTGGGACTGAACCCTTCCTCTGCGTGTAAGGGGACAGCCCTGGTTAGGGCAGAAACCAGGTGCTGAGACTGTGGGATGGGGAAGGTTTTTATTCATTACTCTGTGGAAGTTTGTGTCCAAGTATGGTCTGGTCTTGTCACTCACCAGTGATCACACCACTTGAAATGGCAATTCTGTGGAGCAGTGTGAAGTATTTCTAAACAAAGACTAACATTTCTCTCGCCTTCCTTTTCCAGTCTATGCAGGAGCAGAAAATAGACATCGTAAAGGTGCTCAAAGATCTCTGGCAGGACTTCCTGCAGTGCTACTCCTCCCGGACCATGCTCTGCTGGTCTGTGTGGTGGGCACTGTCCACCTGTGGCTACTTTCAGGTCATCAACTATGCTCAAGGCCTGTGGGAGATGGTGCTGCCTTCTCATAGCACTGAGATCTACAACGGTGCTGTGGAGGCAGCCTCAACGCTGCTAGGTAAGCTTCTGGCATAGTTCCTGCTCTGCTCTGGGCAGTATCTTGTTTCCCTCCCTTGTTTACCAGAGCACGGTTTGGAAGTGTCTTGTGTTCCCCCAAGCATGCAGGAGAGGTAAACCCTGGCATTTGGGGTGAGTCTTCCCCAATGTGATCAGCGTTGAGTTAGTTGCTGCACACAGCCCTGATTCTTGTAATCCAGTACGTAGGTGTTCCAAGGAGCCTCCCAAGTCAATCTCTCTGAAATATCTGGCAGAAGGTTTCAGGCATGTGGCTGACTCTGTGTTCTTGGCTGTCGCTATGGCAGTGGGGTTATGCTTGTTTTAACCTCTCAGGGTGTCGTGGTTTAACCCCAGCAGTAGCCAAGAACCACGCAGCCTCTCACTCACTCCCCCGCCAACAGGATGGGGGAGCGAATCAGAAGGGTAAAAGCTACAAAAACTCGTGGGTTGAGATAAAGACAGTTTAATAGAGAAAGCAAAAGCTGCACACACAAGCAAAGCAAAACAAGGAATTAATTCACTGCTTCCCATGGGCAGGAGGTGTTCAGCCATCTCCAGGAGAGCAGGGCCCATCATGCGTAACGGTTCCTTGGGAAGACAAGCCCCATCACTCCAGATGTCCCCCCTTCCTCCTTCTTCCTCCCGCTTTATATACTGAGCATGATGTCATATGGTGTGGAATATCCCTTTGGTCAGTTTGGGTCACCTGTCCCAGCTGTGTCTCCTCCCAATCTCCCATGCACCCCCAACTTCCTTGCCAGCGTGGCAGTACAGAAAGCAGCAAAGGCCTTGGCTCTGTGTGAGCTCTGCTCAGCAATAACAAAAACATCTCTGCATTATCAACTCTGTGCCCTGCACAAAACCCAAACATAGCCTCATACTAGCCTCTGTGAAGAAAGTTAACTCTACTTCAGCTCAAACCAGCACACAGGGTCAGACTCCGGGTGCTGTGGTTTTCTTCTGGCAGCATAGGGAACATACAACACTGTGTGTACACACGCAGCATGCACTGAGCCACCTTTAGTCACTTTGGCACTGTTAAGCAGAAAAGCTTTAAGATGAAAGAAGGTGGTTGACTTGAAAGGGACGGGTAGGTCAGTCAACACACATGTTTGTTTATTGAGTTGTTCAATACTGTTTCATTACCAAAACTAGGACAATACCTTTTTAATATAGCTAACATAACCTCACAGAGGCTTTCTGGATGTTGCTGCAGTATGTTTCTTTTCTTTGATGGAGTCATCTTTCCATCATCTGCTGTGGACATCACTTACTTGAGGGCAAAAGAAACAAAGGTACACAAACAAGGGAGGTTTAGTACTTTCCTGGGTGTGCTCAGCCCACTCTTGTAGTTCAGTAGGAGCTATGGCTGGTTTGTAGTTCTAAAAGCTGGTCTACAACCCATTGTTAGCTGTGTTTGAAACTGTTGGCCACTTGATTTTGAAGGCTTTGGCTATTCAATAGTCCTTGGTGTGCTAAACCTGCACTTAAATAGTGTGCAGTCATACACTGTTCCTCCTCTCTAGCATGGTGCTGCAGCTCTGATTTCTTGTTTGAATTGGCTTCCTCTACCATCTTGCCTTGGTGCCAGGAAGGAGAAGAATCAGTATCAAGGGAAAGGAGACCCATAATGTGGCCAAATGTCAGCAGATGTAAAGAGAAAAAAAAAGAGAAAAAAAATAAGGAGAAGTATTCTTCGAACCTTATTGTGAACATCTTTGATAACAAAGTTCTTTTTTTTTAAAGGCCTGTGAACAATGGATCTATTGGAAGAAAAGGTGGTTGGCATTACACTCTTGTAAAACTGAAGTTTTTAGTTTCCTATTTTTATTTTTTTCCCTCTAGTATCATTTTTATAAATGGTTGCATCGTTTTGGGTAATGTTTTCTGAAAGCACATTAGCCTCCATCCCTGAACTCGCAGGAGACAGAACCAAAAAATCCTCTGGTTGACACAGGTTAATTACTCAAAACAAGTAAAATTTAATGAAGTCATAATCACAAACTAAAAGCTTGAAGTGTATAACAGGACTGGAAGGGACCTGTTAAGGATGAACATGCAGTGACCTGACTCAAGGCACTAGTGCAAATGCTCTAACTTCTGATTTCCAGTCTGAATTTATTAATGAGCAGTTTATCTCTGATGTCATGCCAAGGTTGCATTTTAGCACAAAATCTTTGCCCTGGGCCACAAAAGCCAAGTTTTTCTAGTTGTTCTTTGGTAAGGTTAAGCTCTTTGTTCTGTTCATCATCTCGTTAGCCCCCCTTTGCAAAAGACCTGGTCTGAGTTACATTCTCTTTGAAGGTGGATGACTGGAGCTGCACTTGGCTTTATTCAGTGAGACCTCAGATTCGTACAACATACTGTTCACTCCTCTCCCTTTACCAGAAATACCTCTCCTGGTGCATCCCAGATCTGATTTGCCATTTACATGGCTCTTAGTCATGCTGTGTTCAGTTATGAGCAATGTTTGGCAACCTTTGTGTCAGATGTTGTTGCCATCCCTGTCTATGCTGCCCTGCAGAAGGGTTTAAGTTGAGCATAGTGACTCATGTAGCTGTTGACTTCCTGTCCTGGGCAAGAGAAATAGTATTCCTTCTAGGGAGGTCAGCTGACTGTTAAGATGCATCTCTGCACCTTCTTGGGAATGTGGCAGTCCTTTATCAGGTTGGGTTGTGAAACCACTGGATCAGCTGTAGGTGTCTCATTGCAGGACACAGATTGAATATCTTAATTAGGTGTCAAGATGATACAACCTTGAGACATAGGGAGAGTACAACTTCATGAGTTCCCAGTGAGTCATGTCTGTTCCCAAATTTCAGAATTGCTGAGACAGTAGGAATAAGGCCCTAGGACTGAGCTTCTTCTTGCATCTCAGGGTGTTGCTACTGGGGGAGATGGACTCTCAAAGAACAGAATGTCAGTCATGTAGTGTCACAGCAGGTACTGGAAGGAAGAGCTTAGTGGGGAGAAATAAATTCCTTTCCCTTGGCATAACTACCTTCTTCACTAGTCTGAAAGATTGATGTGAGGTCTGACAGGGTCGCAGGCTTGTGCATACTGATGGTACATAAGGAGTCTTGATGTGCTTGAAGGTTTTCTAAGATAGCAAGCCAGCTAAGGGCTGCAAAGAGCTTACGTGCTGTGCTGTAAGACTTCTGTACAGTGGTATAATGCTGAATACATTCCTGTTTTTCAGAGATGCCCAGTAAACCTCCCTTTGTCAGCATGCTGTTTGTCTAGTTTGCTGTGTACAGCAGCGCTGTTATGCTGTTGGTTGCTATTTGACTTGTTTGCAGAAGGAGGCTGACTTGAAATGGGAATTTTCTATTCATGTAATATGTATTTAGGCTTCTCCAGTGGCTGTAACTGTGGTAGTGCATGAAACATACCTTGTTTGCCCATTGAAGTGCATGAAATATCACACACTTTCCATCTTGTGACCTGTCTTCTCTCCCCATTCCCCACTTTGCAAAATCCAGCCAGAGTTACAAACTGTTCTGGTTGTAAAGGATTGTTCTTGCACAGTCAATAGTGCATGATTGTACCGTCTGATTAGGCTGCATCCTAGGAGACAGAGATTTGGACTCTTCTTCTTACCTACTCTTGCAGCCTAATGTGAAGATGGCAGTAGACGTGGATTTTTCTGCCTCCTGAGAGAGAGCCGTAACAACTGTGTGTCAAAGTCGGTAGTGTCTTACTCCTCTAAAGCACTACAAATTAATTAGCTGAGTGTTTTTGAGAACCAGGGTTTGCATTTCTCAACAGAAATTGCCCACCTGGCAAAACTGCTGCAGTCAAGTGCAGAGGACTGAGTGGCCGTGGTCTGAGCCCTGGGGCTGTTGTGCCTCTGGAGCCAGCGAGTAGACTTCAGAGGCAGTCAGTGTTGACCTATGTGTGGTTTTTTTATCCCTGTTTCTGTAAAAGTGAATGGGAGTTTCAAATAGGGGTCCAGGTGAGGGAGGGATCAGGAAGGGGAGCCACTAAGGTGTACACATTCACGTCCTCCACTTCAGTCGTGTTTGGCTATTAGGGGCTGTACAGCTCCTATTACACAGTCTCCAACTTACTCCAATTCCTACTACTAATGGTTATGCTTTCCTTCCCCTCACAGGAGCTGTTGCAGTTGTTGTTGTGGGTCACGTAAAAACATCCTGGGCAATATGGGGTGAAGTGGCACTTGCCCTGTTCTCCTTTCTTATTGCTGCTGCTGTATATGTCATGGACACTGTTCATAACATCTGGGTGTGCTATGCATCCTATGTTGTCTTCAGAATTATCTACATGATGCTAATCACTATAGCAACGTGAGTATCTTTTTTATATAAACTACTCTCGAGGTTGCAGCTGGTGTGAAAGCAGTGTATTTTCTGTGTGACCAGAGTTTGTTGCAAGGATTTGTGTTGTGATTCTGGCTGGAAACTGAGGCATGGAGAGATATTTGGCTGTCAGTCTGCCCAAACTTAAAAGTCATATGACACCAAAGTGAGTACTTTGAAATATTAGATAGTGCTGTTTGCCAGGGCGATGTTTTTCACACACATGGCTGGAGAGAAGTGTTAACAGATGAGGAGAGTACAATGTTTTGCCTGTGTTGAAGCATCAACTTTCCCTAATGTGTAGTGAGGAAAACTACTTCAATGTTATTTGTCTCTCTGGGGAGGAAAGCATAACTGTTGTGTGGAGATTATGTGCCCTACATGTGCATCATAACTACAAGACAGCTCAGCAAGAGGGGTGATGCTGAAACTGGCAACTGCAAAAGGAGTTCTGTTTAGAAGGATGCAGGAGGTTATGGACCACACTGCAGTGGACTTTGAGACTGCTAACAGTTCTCCGGGATCAGAGCACATTGTGTCTTCTCTGTGTGACAAGACCCTTTGTATCAGACAGGAGGGCTGCTTCATTAGCACTGAAACTGACAGAGTTCTCAAAGTGGTGTTTGGGGGGGTTTTTTTGTTCTTTTTTAAAAGCTTTGTGCGTGTGTGGTTCTCTTCTAGCTTCTAGTCTGTCGTGATCCTATTTAGAAAAGAACACTATCAGTGCAAGGTAATTTAGCTGAGGAAAATACTGGACCAGTCTATCTAACTCCTCAGGTTGCATAGTCTTTTTGTCCAGAAATGTTCCTTCTATTCTTGCATTTCCTTGCTATTTCCATGTCCTTATGTTTCTGGTCATCCCATTCTTTGCAGGTTCCAGATCGCTACAAATCTCAGTGTGGAGCGGTACGCCCTGGTGTTTGGGGTCAATACTTTCATTGCCTTAGCACTTCAGACTCTGCTCACTTTGATTGTTGTGGATGCCAGTGGGCTTGGCTTGGACATCTTCACTCAGGTATGATAGATGCTCTTAACCTTTGTTGAAAGGAGGGAGGGAGAAAGGTGAAGCAAGCTGTCAAGTTTCTCATCTACATACATACCTGTTTCTGGATCAAGGGTTTGACAGAGAAATAGTCACTGATTCCTGATATTTTAGAAGAGGAAGGGAGCTCATGTATTAACTTCCTTATGAATTTGGTAACTGCTTGGTTTAACCATTTCTTTTTCTTTTCACTGCAGTTCATGATTTACGCCTCTTACTTTGCGGTCATCTCACTGGTGTTCTTGGTCAGTGGCATATGCAATATTGTGAGAGTTTACAGAAGACGAGAGCGGACACAGGGCAGATCTCCTGAAAGGCAGTAGTGCACAAAGACTCTTGGTGACTATATATGAAGATACAGATCTGTTTTTAATCTCTGCCTTTTCTTCCCAAGGCAGTCACCTTAACGGTATTTGATCCATATTTATACTATATTAGTAGCACATTTTAGAAGGTAAATGTATTAGCTCTTACGTAAGTAAGAACAAATATCTTCTTTCTAAAATGCCTTTTGTTCTTCTGTTGCATATATGGGATGTGCAGCAAGGAACAGTAAGTTTTCTCAAAGAATGAGAACCTTGGGAGGGTTTAGTCAAAGGCTGTCTGTCTGCAGGCAGCTCTGTGATTGTCTAGTCAGCTGCTGCTCTGTCACTGAGGTGCTGCTGCAGGGCAGAAGTGAGGGCACACTAATAGATCTCTCTGTGGAGAGCCCCAGGCCTGGGACAGGAGGTGGCCTTAGGGTTGTGCTCTGCAGTGTGGCTCTCGCTGTGACTGCCCTATGATGCTGGATGCTCCTTTCTGAGGACTAGTACACTTATATTTCTGCATATGCACATGCTTCCTTGAAGAGTTTGTACAGTTGCTCCTGTTCCCATCTGTCACCCTTGCTGCTAGAGTTGTACCTTAGCTGATCATGGTGCTTCCCCAAAAACCTTGCTGTGTCCTGGGGCAATTTGTGACACTGGTGGATTGACTACCAGCAGCACTACTTGTGCCACGAAGGCCAGTACCCAAAGGACTGTAAAGCTGCAGGGGAAGTTAGAGGGAGTTTAAGTAGACAAAACGCTAATCCAAGAGACCCTTGGACAACTTTGCCTTTGTCCTTTAGGGCTGCAGGTTCCTGTGATTACAGTAGTCACTGCTTCACAACCCCGGGGGCTGGACTGTTTCAGTGGGATGGTGGATGTGAGTATAGCACTGAGAAGTGCCTTGCAGGATTTGAAGCTATTCTTTGTGTCCTTGGAGAATTGTGTTATTCTGGTGACTAAACAGACACCTTCAGTTATGGTAGTTATTGTAATGACTGCCTGAGGCTTTGAAAAATGCTGATTTCTGTTCTGTCAGGTTTTTTTCCGCCTTATTTTAAAATGCCTTTATGCTTCTGGTGGATCGTTGTCCACTAGTTCTACCTCTTCTTTCCACATAAGCAGAACAATGAATGTTTGGAGTAGGCAGTTCTTTTGTCCAGATTAAGCAATTTGGGACTTGCCTCATATCTGTTTTTTTAAAAAATAATTTATTTTTTTCCAAATTGCTTCAACACTGGGAAGGAGTTGCACAGAATTGTCCTGGAATTGGGCACATGGATACTCAGGCACCATGACCAGCACAGCAACAGATATCTGTAGTATACTCTGCAAATGGCCTATGGACTGTCCCTGTTGCTGTGCAGGTTGTGGGGAGTTTTAAGTGTACAGGAGAGCTGGCAAGGGAGGAGATGCAATGCAGTGTGCTTCCCTTCATGCCTTCTCTCTCTATGTGTCAGTTAGAGCTTCTTTCTTCTTTCTGCTCAAGAAGTGGCTTTGATTCATCACTTGCTTTTAGTGCCATGGAGACTTCACAGCATAGGGGTTGGGAAGCTGTTTTCCCCCTGGCTGGGACATTTCTCGTCACTTTCTGTGAGCCTCAGCCTTCGCTACACAAGGTGAATGATGAATGTGTTTGGAATGTGCAACTGGGGTCTGGGAAGCCCTTCCAGGTTGGCTGCTCAGGGGAACCCACTCCCCAAAGCCTCTCTGTGTTTGCAGGCTGCCTCCTAAAACAGGCCCCTAAAGAGGAGCTTAGCTGCACTGGCATTTACACATGTAAACTTACCTGCCTTATCCTGAAATGGAAACTTGAAGCCACCCATGTATATATTCCTTTCTCTACTGTTTTTGTTTTAAAAAAATAAATCTGAAGCCATGAAATGCTAGCTGATGAGCTGTCCTGGGACAGGGATAGTCTGTCTGTCCTTTGAGTTTCTTGGTCTGATGTCAATTGCAGCAAAGCAGGAGGAGTGGGTGTACAGCACAAGTGACCAAAAGGAGCAGCTTCATTTTGATCATGTTTTGCATACAGAGAACAAATCTTCAATGGGGAACAGCCCAGTTATTTTAAAAGCAAGTCAAAAATTAACCAACGAATGACAACAATAACAATGATTTTTCTACCAAAGTAATGAAACTGGCAACTGCAATAGAGAGGCATGCTACGCTCTGTACTTCTTCACAGGCCTGCTAATGTATGGAAGCCACACCTGGATGTTGTTCAGGTTCCTAGCTGTGCTGTTGCTGTGGTGATGAGGTGACTATGGAGCCTGACTGGAGCTGTATGCAGGTTTAATGATGCCTATGAAATTCTGTAACCTTGTTGACATTGTTGGTTTCTAACTGAACAGCTATTTTTGTTAAATAAAAGTACTCTGAGACACTGTGTGTGGCCAGTGGTTTTTTTTTTCTATTTTGACATTTTGCTCATCCACAGCACTGCTGCTGCAGGTTGTTCTGAACATCTTTGTAACAAAGAGGAAAACAATATATGACAAAACATGCAAAAAGAAGCAAGTCTTCAAGAAGCTGATTGTTGCTGGCTGGCTTGTGTAGGGTTGTAGAACACTGTGGAAGTGTCATGTACTGAGGATTCTTAATTGCTGAGCAGCTCAGAAACACCACTCCAGTTCCAGTGCAGACTGGTCTGCTGAGAGGAGATCATCACTCACTGATGCAGGGTAACCCTGGTCGGGATGCATCAATCTCACCGAAAGTGACAGTAGGGGAAAGCAGGTGTAGGTTTGCCAGGTTAGAGGACCTTTCTATTTACATTGACCTAATTACAACACTGAGGCCTTAGGAAGAAATGCTGGAAGCTCCCTATCCTGGCATACTCACACTTGACTGCTTTGGAAAGCTCTCCCTGTCTTGTGCTCCTAGAAGAGACAGCTTGTACCTACCTCCTAGTACAGCTGGGCTGGAGGGAAAAGTGATCTCTGAGTATCTGCTGCCAGTTTGATGTAGATTGGTGTGGGTAGTAGCCCAACAAGCCCTCTGCACCACAACAAAAACAGGAGAAATGAGGTGTTCTGGGAAGGAAAGGGGGAGGGGAGGCTTTCTTGCATGTGTTTCCTTGAGAGATTTATTGCTGAGGCAGGAAGGATAGGACTATTGGCATGTCAGGCGTGCTCTGAATTTCATCCATCTGCCTTCCCTAGGTGAATGCAGGAGTTGGTTGTGCAGGGATGCTTCTTGACAGCGTGGAGGGTTAAAAATCTCTGCTTGCATGTATCAGGAAAGTAGCTAGTAGCTCAGACAGGTGTATAGCATTACCCTATAAGGTGGATTCAAGTGTTGCACATCTACTGCTCGTGCAGGGTGCTGTGACAAGGACCCTGAAGCTGCTCTGACTGGGAGTGAAGCAAGTCCACGTGAACTGTGGCAATCCTGGCTCCTCCCATTGCATCCTGCCACATCGTGTACAGCTGAGAGAGCTGAAAAGGGACACACAGCTGCTGTCAAGGAGCTGAATTTCTGCACTGGGGATACAGCACGCAGTGTGGTTTGATGGAGCTGAGGTAAATGCTACACACGGCTGTCTGCCTGGGATGCTGCGGCTGTTTCTTTGTTCCAGTTGATGCTGAGGGCTGCTGGAGGTGAGTATTACCATCGAATCTGTGTGTTCTGTGCCAGGCTTGCTGTGATGCTGGTAAGATATGTATAGTTTCTGGGCTAAAGCTAAATATGTGGTATAGTTCTTGGGATCATTGTTCCTGCAAGAGACTACGTGCTGGGCTTGTTCTGTCCAAAAAGCAAGGGATGGTAAAAACTGCCAGAGGCTGCTGTTTCAGGAGCAGCACTCACTGCTGTCCCCCTGAGCTAGTGTGACAGCCCCCCAGGGCATGGGAGGGTTAGACTCAACCCTGCTATGGCTGTGTGTATGTGGCACAGGCGGCTGCTCTGGCAGTGCTCTCACGGAAAGGGAAGGGCTCTGAATGGAGATGGTTGTGTTTTCTTCTCTATTGGTGTGATTGTAGCCAAGGCAAGAAAAGAGAGACTTCAGCTATGGAAGGGGCAGGAGACTGGGAGCTCTGGCTCTGTTCCCAGTGGCTCTTAACCGTGTTAGTGTTTCCTACTATGCAACATACAAATGATGTTCTGGTGCTTGTTTAACATAGCTCTGGAGGTGTTGATGCAGCCTTTTTCTGTGAAGCACACTTGCTCTGTGTGAAAGTGTTCCCTGAACACAGTTTGTGATGCATTAGTGGCATGGAAAAAAGCAGCCAACATGTCAGGGCCTGTCCTTGGAGCCCTGCACTGCTTAGCTGTTGTTCTCCTTGCATTTTTTCACAACCATGTTCTGTAGCTTCCTCACATCTGGGAACATCTAAAACCCTCCATTTAATGACATGTGGGTTAATGGATGCATGCATGAATTTAGATTGACCTCATATCATTAAGTTATCATTATCAAGCATCACAGCTTGATATTTCAACAATGGAGTCTAATCCTTGTTTTAATCATGCTGATTTGTAATTGCTCAAATATAGCATCTCTTGTGAACGAAAGGAGTAGCACTGGCTTTTAAGCTGAAGGATAGTCTTATGAAAAAAGCAATGCTGAAAGCTTTGGTATTGTGCACAGTTCTCTGTATCTTAGTCTGCTAGGAACTTGTCAAAGACACATGTCTATGAAATGTGGAAAATCAGAAATTTGGCATATTGTCTTCAAGGGCAGGATAACTGCATGCCCTGGGTGAGGTCAGTGGTTGAAGTTTTTCCAGGTACAGCAGGGGCCATTGCCAAGCAGGTACCTGAGTGTCATCTTCACTAAATACCAGGGAGCCCTTCCAACCTTCTGGAAACAATGTCAAAAACCATTTCTCTTTCTCACTGTATTGTGTAGGATGAGCAGAAGCCCTGAGGTCATGGAGTCTAGCCTCCCTCTGTGGCATGTGGCCTATGATGACAGATGTCTTCAGAGACCTCCTGAACCCCACCTTGAAGGGCTTTAGCCTTTCTGCCCAGCATGACTTTGAGTGAAAGGGTAACTCTACTTGAGTTACTCTGAG